GCTAACTTGTTAAGAGGAAAGAAAGAAAAGAAAAAAGAAAATAAAAGATGGAAGAATTATCTAAAACAAAACAATGTTTTTTCGTGGGTTGAAAATTCCTGGTAGACGATCATACACAGCACGCTTGACGTTTTAAAATGGAAATTCTTTCTTCCTCTTACAGCAGTGACAAAATGTCACAAAGACTATATTCTTTTCCAATGTTTATATTTCATAAATGTGAAGACTCTTGAACCGGATATGCCTGGCACAATGTGTGCATATCGGTTAAAATGGTGTGCACGACAAAATCCGATTGGAGAGGCCCAGAAAATCAAATCGGATGAATGGGGTGCAAATAAAGGCATATTTCACAGTCAAAGGTACCATCGATCTTCTCAATAAGTTAGATAACTGGTTGTGACCCGCGTCACGACTTGAAACGTCTCGTTCATATGCAATTCCAAATGCTTCGTCCTTGNCAAAGGTACCATCGATCTTCTCAATAAGTTAGATAACTGGTTGTGACCCGCGTCACGACTTGAAACGTCTCGTTCATATGCAATTCCAAATGCTTCGTCCTTGTCGACCTAGTAAACTGAAAATTAATGAAACTAGATTTATAGACTCTTTTCATAAATGGCTGCCGATTTAAAATTATTTTGTATGCATTTAAATTAGCCTCACTAAACTGGTTTAGGAGTAAAAATTATTTTGAATTATCAACTCAAAAACGACGTTAGTCAGGCTAATTTTAATACTTACAAAAGAATTTCATTATAATAGGCAGCAATTTATGAAAAGGGTCTATAAGGAAGCTAAAATCCGCGCGGTGAAATTTAACAATTAATTACCCCGAAGCAGTAGAATCAGTTCTAGGAAGGAGTAGTAACCAAATAGGACGAACACAAAATCATATTTACAGGCAAAAGCAGAAGAAGCAATTGCTTGCACTTCCCTTTGTGAAGTCTTAGTTGTGGGAAAAAGTAAAAATCCAGTCTCTATGTAAAATTACAATAACTTCAATGCCCCGCAATCTATAGTCTTAACAGATTTTCCTCCAAAAGTCTTATTCAAACCGCTTGTGTTCATTAACTTCATTTCAAAGTTTCAGAAAAATGATGCACTTTTCTTAAATAGATATGTGAAAAGAGTACTTTCTTTCAATAAAGGGTATTTGAAAGGGGTAGCTTTTCAGTCAAAATGGTATCCTAAAGGGTATGCAGGATTGCACCTCAGGTAGGGACCTCCCAGTATAGCACTTTCTAAAGTAAACCCCTCGAGACCTAAGCATACTATAAAGATCTCTATGTTCACTAGCAAATCTTACGGTATGCTAAAACTCGGTCGGAAAACTGACAAACTGCGAAACCTGCAAAAATTGTCCTTGGAATCTAAAAGTGCGCAGATTTAAAAAGTCTATATATCGTTGAGGCTATACAACAATTTCTCAATGTCGGGCAGTTATACAGTTGACTCATAGCCTTCACCTTGTATGTTACTGCAGATTATACTAAGTGTTTTGTTAGTATACCCGAGCCGAGAAGTTTCGTCCACTGCAAAAACCCAAACAGTATTCGGAGTCGCGTACTATTTCTTTATGAACATCAAGTACTCTTAGAAAATTTGGACGAGTTCTTATGTCGAAATTCTGTAATGTTTTCCAAATTTCAATCACGCCAAGTCGGCGAGCTCGGTTTATCGCGCGGAGCTCAAGCTCCGATAATTCGACAACTAGAAAACCAAAATGACTGAAGGAATCGCATGGCATTTCCAGTGAAACATATGATACTCTCAAGAGGTCTAAATAACGCTTTGCTTCGAAAATCTGCAATAACATCATTCCCAGCTACCGGGATCATAATTTCTACGTGATAAAAACAAAACTCAATATAGTCGCTTAATATTATCTATTTTTACTTGATCGAAAAATAATCGATGTGAATGGAATAAGCACCTTAAAATGAGTGATGCGACCAGGTCCTGCGCGAAATCTCGCATAAAATTGAAGGGAGCGTTGATTACAGAACACCAGCATTTATGATTCTCTTTTCCTTACTTTTTGCAAACCACGGTAATCGTGACAGAGCTCGTTGACGTCACCAGAAACATCGCTGAAAATTTCGAACTAAGACTTTCAGTCTAGCTCAAATAAAACACAAAAGATTTATGTAAAACCCAACTTACCACAACGGCCAGTTTTGTTATTCTCCGTCACATTTCACCGCCCTTTACAATCAGTTCGTCAAATTATTATTAAAGCTCAAAATCTAGTTCTTAAATTTTCGTTCCTTTTCCGCCGGAAATAGGCGACAGAAAAAGCGCTACTTATTTTAAGAACCACGCACGCCCTCAGACCGTGCACACAAAATCTGTCTTAATTTTCCCCATCTTAAACTGAAAACCAGTTTTACAAATAATGCATTAAACCATCAATTGCCGAGGGATCCCGGAATGAGAAAATTCTGCATTGATCTGATTAGGTCCATTGTGCATTCGTTTTACATTTCTACAGTCGAGTAGTCCATTATAAATTATATTGGCCGCTTTTTACATTTTATATTAACTGAGTGTAAGGTTTGCTTCTTACCTGTACATAATTTTGGAACAAAATAATGGGAGATAATGAAGGACGTTTTTTATTGCCTCGTAAAGATCAAGTGTTTTCCAATATAGCCTCATCGTTTTGCGCTCCTGCAGAAACAAAACGGAGATATCCCGAATCCAGTAAAAGCAGGTAATCTAAGCAAACGTTATTCCTTTATGCACGAGGCAGGTATCTTGTATGTGGTGCTTTCAAGGGCTGTTTGATAAATAGATATAATTTGTCTGGTACGCTTGTAGCATTAGGTTGTCGTGATCCAGTTGAAGTGCTTTTCATTTTAGATCACGTGGGGTTTCATTTATACCATTTATTATTGACTTTAGATGCCGTGATGAAATCACCAATTCAAATCCACAGTGAGTGCTGACGTGGCGATCAATATCGACAATAAACATAGTTGTCTTTTATCTAAGAAATTTATTTTAGAAACGAGGACTCGATTCATTGAAAAGAAACAAAAAAAGTAGCAATCCATTTAGAAATTGATTGTGAGGTTCTTCATACGTATTTAAAAGACAAAATATCAACAAAGAATAAAGCTCGTACTAAGGTAATTCCTCGGTTTTGCATTGTGCATCCTTACTGCGTATAATATCAGGTACAATTAGCGCGCGCACATTACCAAAGTGGCGGCTTTTTCTAAACGGGTTGGCCTACGAGCGACAAATCATCGTGCTTTTTTCTCGAAAAGGAGTCACGGGATCTGACCATTGTTTCATTTAGTTTGAATACAGCGATCACCTTCCTTCTATACAGTAAAATAGATGAATTTCTATTGCAGAGTGAAAAATTAGTACGGAATATGAGAGCATAGCTTAAGTACTCAAAAAAGATAATATGTGGCCTCAAGATCACTGAGTGCTTGAACATGTTGAATCCCTGTCGACTAAATATGGGTGACTTCATGATCATGAAACGTACATCAAATTGCTCCTCGACATTCATGCAACACATCATTGTTGTACTTCTCGCTTAACGTTCTCCCCACAGAGCGTAAAGTGAATGGTTCAGATGTGAACTTTTCTGACAGCAGAAAATTTAAGGAATTACGGGGTTTACTAAAGGTCCTTCTGCTCCTAAACAAATACCGGGACCTCAATATGAGCAGCCAACAGGTGAAGTTTAAAAGAAAATCCATGAAGAGTTCTATTTTGAAGGAATTACCTTAACCTCGACAGAAACTGTTTTATGTGGCAATTTTGCTGTTACGTGCTCATCTTTACATCCTTTGTCTTGTAATTAACTACTTAGTATTCAATTTCAGTAAAATGCTTTTTACATATAGCTGGGATTGAAACTACGATTTTGACCTGGTCATATGCCTGCAAATACAAAGATTATATTAAAATGTCGCTAAGAGTGAATAATGTTCAATTCGTGTCCTCAGTGGTTAATCCAATGAATCCTTCGAAATGTTTTCCGGAAAGGAAGCAACTTTTAAGGGCAAAATTCATGATAACTTGAATTAATTTTATGACCTTTTGCTTCGCCTTGAAACGCTAACAAACACAATGTGAAAATAAATCACGCTTTACAGGTAAATTACAAGAATAATAACGCAAAATTTCAATATTGATGTTTAAAAAGTGCATTCCAGTTTAAAGATCAATGGAACAAACTTGTGTTTGCACTATTTATTTTGCTAGTGATATACGTGAGATATGCTATCAAAGAAGAGCCGCTGCCTGAAGCGGCACTCGCTCAGTTGAAAGCTTTCGACTTCTGCATATTTAGTTCCATTTCAATGTTGACGTCGTCAAATGTCTCCGTAGCCAAAATATAATTCGCGATTCCTCAAACATAAGCCGTCACACAACAGTGCTCGGTATAAAAAATAATTTTCGTAATGAACAAGATGTCATCGTCGTCTTTTGCGAGTACCTTTTCAAGCAATCTCATTAATGGAGTTAGAAGACCACCCGTATGGAAGCTCTTTTTATGGGAATATCTCAAAATAACTGAGATGGAACCTACTCAGCAATCTCCGTTTTGATATAATAAGAGTGGTGTAAGTTATTTTACGATAAAATGTGACATGATTTATTATCTATTTCATGTGTGGTCGGCAACAAATCTTCAGATAACGCAGTGCAAAACTGACGACCACATGAAACTGAGATAACTTGAATTTAGTGTTTGCAAAGGAAACGTGATTTTAATGTTTAGTGTTACCTCAAGCTATCAACTCTTTGCTTAATGTATTAATTTACAAGCTGACCATTTAAAGGCGTTTTTGATCACATCTTCAGAAGCGGTGGCATTTGTCCAAGGAACCTGATCTATGGTTTGGCCTCTGCTTATGCACGAAACAGGTGAAGTTTGGAACATCTACCAAACCAATAACTCAAATTTATAAAGCTGGCAAATCCAATAGACTTCACGTGGGCTCGACATTTATACATGTACGTCTCTACTTATGGCATCGTTCAGAACGTCTAACGCAAGCTGGGTGAGAAACAGTGGTTCAAGCAATGAAACTGAAGCTGAAGACGAAGACACGTTTCTTCCTTCGCCATTGATTGTACTTTTGTCCTTTATGTGCCTGCTGATTGTTGCAGTTAATGGCCTCGTAATCGTCTTGATCCACAAAAGGAAATCACTGAGAACCATCACCAACACGTTTCTCGCTTCACTGGCGCTTTCAGATCTCATGTCAGCTTTGTTGGGAATTCCTCTTCTTGTCATCTGTTTGGTGAGAGATGTCATCAAAGTTTGCTTATCTTCCTCAATTATTATTCGATTCACCGCCATTTCTTCAGTCTGCCATGTTCTGCTAATCGCTTGCGATCGTTACATTTTTATAGTTCACTCCATGAATTACCATTTTCTTGTAACGAAACGGCGAGCTATGGTCGCCATTTTGGGCATTTGGCTTTTGTCATTTCTAGCTTCTGTTATTCAGTTGTCTTGGCATAATCTCCAAGAAGCAGCCTTGACCGAATTTGACGAAACAGCCGAAGGAATTGATGTAAAATACGGTCTAGCTTGTATCGCGTTGTTCTTTGCAATTCCTTTGTTGTTAATGTGCTGTTTATATGGACACATATTTTACATTTCGTTAAAACGCAACAAACGTGACCGTCAATTGAACAAGAATCTTCAGCAGCCCAATCGATCGGCACTCCAGGAGTGGCGAGGTCGCAGCGTTTTGTTGATCACAATGGTGATTTTTGCCGGCTGTTGGTTGCCATTTTTCTTGATGGTACTTGATGCACATATGGAATCATCCCCGTTTTCTCCTCTACCAGTTTCTCTTGAGCGCCTGCTGATTTTTGTCGGCTTTATCCCTCAGCTGTTAAACCCAGTGCTGTGCACATTAGCCAAGAAAGATTTTCGACATGCATTGAAAGAAGTGTTCTTGCCAAGGCAAGCACCCCTTGAGCGTAAACATAATGTGCGTTTTCATATCACCCGCAATCAGTTTGGTGTCAACCACAACGTAGAGTGCGAATGAGAGAGGCCGCAGCGGCGCAGCGGCGACCGGGAAAAATGACTGTACCGTGTGATACTGAAGTTTCGGACCCCGTGGGGAATTTTAACCACAATATGCAAAACAGATTGTACATTGCACTCAGGATCAGATTGAAAGGTAACAAAAGTAGCGATAGGAAAGGGGTGAAGGTTGACAAGTGGTGTAATCCATCTACTTTCTCGAAATCTTCCGGCGCAATCTTCCCAAACCGTAGCTGATTTCAGAAACCAAAAACAAAAAATGTTTGGAATGATCCACACAACCGTGGAAATGCTGTGGCAAGCCGGTGCGGGAAACAGAAAAAAAGAAAGAGTCCAACGTAGTGGATCGGACTACACATCGTACACCGGAAAAATTAGGGAAATAAACTACAGATAATTGATGAAGGAAGGAGAAGAACATGATAAATAATTCGTAAATGAAGCAGGAAGTGTATTTGTTGATAAAAAGTTGGTTGCCTCATTTAAGTTTCAAAGCTAAAATTCAGACCAGTGAAAGAAAACGTCATCGATCTTAAAATGTTATTTTAGTTGAATCCTCTCTCACATGCACAGTCAAGCCTTTCAGTAGATACTGAGAAGACAACCATTTCGTTAAAAGGTGTCGTGACTTCAGCACTTGCTAGAATTTATAGCTTTCAACTGATTTATGTGTGCTTCACTTTGGAAAAAGCTTTTTTTCAAAGACTCGGTCAGATAACACATGAACGCTCTCGACAATTGTCATAGTGAACTGTCGCGAGGACCGAGAATATCACTTTTCTTGAGTATATTGAATTCAAATCAGATGTAGTTTCATTTTTTGGTTTACATTTGACGGTACTGATGTAATGGTACAGTAGTTCTAACTCTAGAATGTCATTAGAATAATCTACCGGCAAAGGTATAAAGTAGAATCGCCAACGCAATAAATACAGTGTATTGTTGCCGACTGATATGCTAAAATATCAATCGCGTCAGTAGAACCTCAAGTAACGCCTGCGGTGAAACCATTCCAAAAAAACACTCGTGTTGTTGGTTAGTTAGATTGCATAAGAGAATAAAAAAGGATCACATATGTTTGTCTCTTGTAACTGTTGTTTATTTCTGGAGACTCCCACGAAAAACTTTTATATGTGATTGTTCCCGACCTCCTGATTACGTGTTTCAGTCTCGGCAATTCGCCCGATAGCGATAAAAGTCACAATAGACGTTTTCCAAGCAGAGAAGAAAAATTTTAAGCTTAAAAGGACTTAAACATGAAACAAATTATTGTAAAACAAACTTTTAATTGAAGAAAAATTGAAAAATTGTAACTTTTTTAAACTACGTGACAACCCTTGCACACAGCCACAAACATTTGGCAGATTTGATGCTTTTAGTGCTTCCAAGTGCAGTAACAAAAATGTTATGATGTCCCATTGTTTGTACTGTTATCTGTAAATAAAAATACATCGAAAACCCTTGTGATGATCTCTTTGAAACGGATCTGCCAGGTCGGATTGGTGGAGATGATGTGTTGAACGTTTTTAAGTTCGTGTTTGAAGTGAAAAGCCAGAAAAAGTATACAACTTTAACCCCAGTCATTATGTAAATTTTGAAATGAAAAGGGTGAAATAGTATCAATAGAAGCTGGGCTGTCCAATTCCCTTCCGCCCAGACATTCCTGAATCAGACGCTTTTGAAAGGAAATACTATCTCGATAACAAAATGTCCTTGAAGCACTATCTATATTTCCTGTGTTTATGATTGTCAACTTTTGAAGGGCACGATCGTTTCTAAAGTCAGATGTGACTAGTCTGCGTGGTAATGGCAAGCACATTATCTGTTTCTTTTCGGTTATGCAGATGCTTCAGGTACTTAAAATATAGCTGTAGAGGCGGTAAAATTATCTTTATCTCTTGCGCTAACTTGTTAAGAGGAAAGAAGAAAAGAAAAAAGAAAAGAAAAGATGGAAGAATTATCTAAAACAAAATAATGTTTTTTCGTTAGTTGAAAATTCCTGATAGACAATCATACACAGCACGCTTGACGTTTTAAAGTGGAAATTCTTTCTTCCTCTTACTGCAGTGACAAAATGTCACAAAGACTATATTCTTTTCCAATGTTTATATTTCATAAATGTGAAGACTCTTGAACCGGATATGCCTGGCATGATGTGTGCATATCTGTTAAAATGGCGTGTACGACAAAATCCGATTGGAGAGGTCCAGAAAATCAAATCGGATGAATGGGATGCAAATAAAGGCATATTTCAGTCAAAGGTACCATCGATCTTCTCAATAAGTTAGGTAACTGGTTGTGACCCGCGTCACGACTTGAAACGTCTCGTTCATATGCAATTCCAAATGCTTCGTCCTTGTCGACCTAGTAAACTGATAATTAATGAAACTAGATTTATAGACCCTTTTCATAAATGGCTGCCAATTTAAAATTATTTTGTATGCATTTAAATTAGCCTCACTAAACTGGTTTAGGAGTAAAAATTATTTTGAATTATCAACTCAAAAACGACGTTAGTCAGGCTAATTTTAATACTTACAAAAGAATTTCATTATAATAGGCAGCAATTTATGAAAAGGGTCTATAAGGAAGCTAAAATCCGCGCGGTGAAATTTAACAATTAATTACCCCGAAGCAGTAGAATCAGTTCTAGGAAGGAGTAGTAACCAAATAGGACGAACACAAAATCATATTTACAGGCAAAAGCAGAAGAAGCAATTGCTTGCACTTCCCTTTGTGAAGTCTTAGTTGTGGGAAAAAGTAAAAATCCAGTCTCTATGTAAAATTACAATAACTTCAATGCCCCGCAATCTATAGTCTTAACAGATTTTCCTCCAAAAGTCTTATTCAAACCGCTTGTGTTCATTAACTTCATTTCAAAGTTTCAGAAAAATGATGCACTTTTCTTAAATAGATATGTGAAAAGAGTACTTTCTTTCAATAAAGGGTATTTGAAAGGGGTAGCTTTTCAGTCAAAATGGTATCCTAAAGGGTATGCAGGATTGCACCTCAGGTAGGGACCTCCCAGTATAGCACTTTCTAAAGTAAACCCCTCGAGACCTAAGCATACTATAAAGATCTCTATGTTCACTAGCAAATCTTACGGTATGCTAAAACTCGGTCGGAAAACTGACAAACTGCGAAACCTGCAAAAATTGTCCTTGGAATCTAAAAGTGCGCAGATTTAAAAAGTCTATATATCGTTGAGGCTATACAACAATTTCTCAATGTCGGGCAGTTATACAGTTGACTCATAGCCTTCACCTTGTATGTTACTGCAGATTATACTAAGTGTTTTGTTAGTATACCCGAGCCGAGAAGTTTCGTCCACTGCAAAAACCCAAACAGTATTCGGAGTCGCGTACTATTTCTTTATGAACATCAAGTACTCTTAGAAAATTTGGACGAGTTCTTATGTCGAAATTCTGTAATGTTTTCCAAATTTCAATCACGCCAAGTCGGCGAGCTCGGTTTATCGCGCGGAGCTCAAGCTCCGATAATTCGACAACTAGAAAACCAAAATGACTGAAGGAATCGCATGGCATTTCCAGTGAAACATATGATACTCTCAAGAGGTCTAAATAACGCTTTGCTTCGAAAATCTGCAATAACATCATTCCCAGCTACCGGGATCATAATTTCTACGTGATAAAAACAAAACTCAATATAGTCGCTTAATATTATCTATTTTTACTTGATCGAAAAATAATCGATGTAAATGGAATAAGCACCTTAAAATGAGTGATGTGACCAGGTCCTGCGCGAAATCTCGCATAGAATTGAAGGGAGCGTTGATTACAGAACACCAGCATTTATGATTCTCTTGTCCTTACTTTTTGCAAACCACGGTAATCGTGACAGAGCTCGTTGACGTCACCAGAAACATCGCTGAAAATTTCGAACTAAGACTTTCAGTCTAGCTCAAATAAAACACAAAAGATTTATGTAAAACCCAACTTACCACAACGGCCAGTTTTGTTATTCTCCGTCACATTTCACCGCCCTTTACAATCAGTTCGTCAAATTATTATTAAAGCTCAAAATCTAGTTCTTAAATTTTCGTTCCTTTTCCGCCGGAAATAGGCGACAGAAAAAGCGCTACTTATTTTAAGAACCACGCACGCCCTCAGACCGTGCACACAAAATCTGTCTTAATTTTCCCCATCTTAAACTGAAAACCAGTTTTACAAATAATGCATTAAACCATCAATTGCCGAGGGATCCCGGAATGAGAAAATTCTGCATTGATCTGATTAGGTCCATTGTGCATTCGTTTTACATTTCTACAGTCGAGTAGTCCATTATAAATTATATTGGCCGCTTTTTACATTTTATATTAACTGAGTGTAAGGTTTGCTTCTTACCTGTACATAATTTTGGAACAAAATAATGGGAGATAATGAAGGACGTTTTTTATTGCCTCGTAAAGATCAAGTGTTTTCCAATATAGCCTCATCGTTTTGCGCTCCTGCAGAAACAAAACGGAGATATCCCGAATCCAGTAAAAGCAGGTAATCTAAGCAAACGTTATTCCTTTATGCACGAGGCAGGTATCTTGTATGTGGTGCTTTCAAGGGCTGTTTGATAAATAGATATAATTTGTCTGGTACGCTTGTAGCATTAGGTTGTCGTGATCCAGTTGAAGTGCTTTTCATTTTAGATCACGTGGGGGTTTCATTTATACCATTTATTATTGACTTTAGATGCCGTGATGAAATCACCAATTCAAATCCACAGTGAGTGCTGACGTGGCGATCAATATCGACAATAAACATAGTTGTCTTTTATCTAAGAAATTTATTTTAGAAACGAGGACTCGATTCATTGAAAAGAAACAAAAAAAGTAGCAATCCATTTAGAAATTGATTGTGAGGTTCTTCATACGTATTTAAAAGACAAAATATCAACAAAGAATAAAGCTCGTACTAAGGTAATTCCTCAGTTTTGCATTGTGCATCCTTACTGCGTATAATATCAGGTACAATTAGCGCGCGCACATTA